AATCTAAAGAAATATCTCTTTAAATCAGCTTTAAATCTGCAATGAATTCAAATCTGAATCTATTTAAATTTCACATCAATTGTGAGTATATGTTGTCTGGTAAATACCCAATGAAATTGAGAAATTACCTTTACATTCGGAAAGAAAATTCATTCGGTCGCTTCTGGCTTGCCGAATACCACTTGAAAAACGATTAGGAAACATACCGGAAGGGATCTTTTTCTTCTCGATACAAATCAGCATGCGAATAGTGAACGAGATAAGCAGCTAAAAATTTGAAAACGAACCTGATAACGTTGAGAATTTCAATACGGAAAAAAGTGATCCATAGTGACGGTGATTCGGGAGAGGAGCGTAATCCGAGTTGCAGATGCACACGCGCATTATCGATGCTGTTGTTGTGTTGAAATTCCCAAAGAGCTGCCTCACAACGCAGTTCCACATCCCTTCCCATTACCTTTAATAAGTGAACGTTTTCACGCAACTAAACTACTTTGAATNACGCAGTTCCACATCCCTTCCCATTACCTTTAATAAGTGAACGTTTTCACGCAACTAAACTACTTTGAATTTCCTCCATAGTTCTCAGTTACGATCACGCAATATTGTGAATGTAATCACAACAAAATCGGAATCGGAAAAGTGCGTAAATTAATTCAAAACGTTAATTGAGATCCGTAAAAGAGAGATTACAAACCTGAAGTGCGCGAAAGTATGCTTGACTGCATCTCACACTCATGTTTTCCTTTTTGAGGTAATCCAACCTCTTCCTCCACACTTCTGCACGACCCTAAAAATCAAATCTCTTACTAGTATGAAGGTGATTCTGATTTGCTCAGAATTTAAAACTAATTCAAACAGTCCATAGTCTGCAGTTTTTGCGACACCATCAATAACTGAACATAACGAAAACAATTCAAACATCCGCATCAATATCCACCAGATTTCGGAGCTCAACCAACCTGAAAGCGGTCTGTGCATCGGCGATATATATCCGCAATCTTCGCCTTGATTGATCCATCGATTTCGTTGTGTTTATTGAAATATTTCAAACGATTCCTTCGAATACGAATCAGCTCGAGCACATCTCTCAAATACTCCGCATACAGAACAAAATCATGCGGATCTTTCACCTGAAAAAATACCATCATCAGTATTCTCAGTGAAATTCA